AATTTTTCAGATTCACACTATATTGGATTTACATAGTGATTTGCGTCATGTTACACTATGTTTATTCTTCTGTTGACCGGCAGATTATCAATTAAAGCTAATTGCTATATTTGCTGCTAAAGTAATTTGGTTAATAGGAGTGCTAGATCTGGCAGGAATAGGTTTTTCTATGTGGCTAGTAGTGAAATTGCTAGAAGTGGCTATACTAGTTGCAACCAGAGTAGGTGTAGTTGTGCTTGCTTCTACAAGAGTGTTGGTATCTTTGTTTATATCCTTTGTGATGTCTGTAGAGATCTTAGTTGTGTCTGTGGGAGTATGTACTAGTACATAAGGAGTAGCAGAGTATATAATATCTTCCATGTTACTTTTGTTTGATTCATTGTTAGATTCTATTTGTTTGATAGTATTGTACAAAATTTTAGGCAGGTTAGCAATACTTTTTGCTTTTGTGTAAGGTTTTATATTACTTTTGTAAGCATTTGTAATAGTTGTAAAGTCATAGTTACGAGTAGATTTAGGGTGTTTGGTGCTGATATTTACAATATTGTTTTTCTGTGTAGTAAGGTCAAAGAGGATTGATTGGGTAGGGTCATCATGTTTATATGTCTATTGTAGTGAGTAGTTAACTAAATTTGGAATCTTGCCAGATTTGGTAATATCAATATAGAAGAGAAAGTTACTGACATACTCTGGAATAGAGAAGCTAATAGTAAAAAAAGGTTTGGACCAGTCTTTAATAGTGATTTTGATAAAATTTTTTGTGTATTCTATTTCTGAGACTGGTGGCTGGGTGATAGCAAAGGTAGCTTCTGGTTGTGCAGATTTGCAAAACATAGAAAAATAGCCAAAGAAGCCAAAAGAGCTTTCTGAAATCATGTTTTCAAAGGAGAGCTAGGGCTTGGTAAAGTGAGTTGTTTGGTGTTTTTTGATATTTTTGTATAAAAAATTAATAGTACTTTGTTCTGGGCTGCTTGAATTTTAGAGTTCTTAGGACCGCTTTTGCGGAAGAGTAAAAAAACTAGTTTTTTGTTATTTGAAGCATTTATTGCTACTAACTTAATAGGGTAAAAGCTTTTTTTAAAAAATATACTTTTTTTAAATGCTTTTATAGGTGCTGAGTAACTTTACTTAGAAGCCAGATGTTAATTTACTTAGTAAGTTTTTGAGATAATGTTGCAGAAAAATTTTTTCTTCTTGTTTTAATTTAGTAAAAGTGATCTATGAGAAGAGTTTTTTTACTATAGATTATAAATTTTATTAAAATTACAACTAATTTTTTTTTAAAAAAATGATAAACTATAATTAAAAAGAAGAATATAAGATTAGTTAAAATATAAACTAGAGTGTGGCAGCTTAGTGAAGTGGTCTAGTCATCACTCTACCGAGTAGCAAATCTAGAGTTCGAATTCCATAGACAATATTTTTTGAAAAATAAATCTGCATTAGAAAATAATTATCTATTGATTAGTTGGATCTATAATCTGTAATTTTGGTTATACTATCTTGTTATGAAAGCTTCAGTGCAAAAATGCCAAGAAACTGGAATAATCAAAACCTATTTGAAAAGACTCAAGTAAAGAAATAGTAAATACTTTCAACAGTGCTATAAGAAAACTAAATTTGGAAGTAATAGCCAAGATTAGAGAACTGAATGACAACAAGATTTTTAAGTAAGGATCTACCAATCTGACTGCTAATTGGAGAGAAGGGTAGTACACCAACCTAGTCAGCCAGTGTGGGAAATCAGGGTGGTCATTGATCATGATTAGAGTTTAAGAGTTAGGTTCTACCTAACTATAAGGGCTGGGCAATTTTTGGAGACTAGCTGAACCCAATTGGAGGAAAAAAACATGTGTTATAAAATCATATACTATAAAAAGACAGGATATAAGGCATCTAGAGCCTAGCTAGAGTCAAATCTTCTGGGTCACAGGTTGGAAGTAAAGAAGGAACCAATAAGATAATTATAGAAAAAGAAAAACCCAAATATGAATACTAGAGTTGAAGTGAACTTTACAAGGGTATAGCAATTCAATTAGGTTATACTAAACTGCAAGTAGGGGCCTTGCAACTCAATAACTAGATTAGCTAGATAGAAATACAAAAGGCTCTAGTAGATTTACTTCGAGGATAGTCATACATTTGCTTAATAGAAAAATGCAAGCTGGTAATTAGTTGGTACAAACTTTTAATAAGTTGCAGAAGTTCTAAAATCTGTTAGAGATAACTAGATAGAAATTCTAGAGTTAGTCAAAAGATACTTATAGATGGTTATAACTAGAAGTGTTAAATAGGCAACCCTCTAGATAGGTTATAGGTAGTGTTGTCATAGGACAGGAATATAAACAACGGATAGTCCAAAATGGAATGTCCCGGACATGTCTGCCAAAATGTTAATGTTTTGGACAATTAAAAATTATAATAAGAGTATTCTTTTTAGCCAATAAGGTCGCTTAATAAACTTCATGCTATAGGACACCATTATAGACATAGAACATTGTCCGGGATATGAGATATCATCTGGGACTGTTCACGTCCCTAAAATTTTAATAAGACAATATTTGTATATAACACTAGTTACAGGTACAGTAGCTAGTATAAAACCTATAGGTAGACTACTTAAATAAAGTATCCAAAAGGTGCATGTGTAGCTAGTTGTAACTTTGTTATAACTATATATGTATTTAACAACTAATAAAAAGCACTTTATAGCCAAAGAGGTCACCTTAATACCAAAAAAAAAATAAAAAAAAATAAAAAAAAATAAAAAAAAATAAAATAAAATAAAATAAAATAAAATATAAACTAGTATATATTATTTAAGATAATTTTTATATACTATTTGCTAACAAGCTTAAAGCTTATTACTTATTATAAGAATAGCAATTCTTTTTGCTAACAAGTTTAGAGTTTATTATCTATTATATTTTATTTTTTTTAAAAAAATACTTTCTTTTAAAAAAAGTACAAAAACTATATTTTATACTATTATCTATTTGCTTTTTTAATAAAATTTTTATAAAAGTAAGTAAAATAGTTTATTTTTATCAAAAGATCAATATTGTTTATTCTATACAAATTTGAATATTGTAGTAGATTACATTTTGGTTATTAATAAATATAATTTTATTTTATATAACAAAATTTTTATTTTTTTATTTTATTTTTTTTTTAATGTTTAAGGTAACAAAATTTTTATTAACAAGCTATCTATTAATATTTATATATATGTTTTTTTAATAATAAAAGCAAAATAATAATCTTATTAATAATATTAAATAAATTAAATTTTGTAAAAGAATATACAAACTCTTTTTAATAGTTCTTTGTATTAAAATTATAACAAATCTTTTTTTAAAAAAAATAATAAATTATAATAGAAAAGAAAAATATAAAACTGATTAAAACAGGGTGTGATGACTTAGTGAAGTGGTGAAGTTGTCGCACCCCAGATGGCAGGTCTAGAGTTCGAATCCCATGGATAATGATTTTGAAAATACTAGATTTGTATCAGTTAACGTTAAGATTATCAGTTAGATCCAGATATCTGTAATCTTGGTCACACCATCTCGAATGGGTCTTTGGCACAATAAATCTAGGAAACCAGAATTACCAAAAACCTGTTTGGCAAGCCCTGAGTAGGGAGGTAGTATGATCTTTGACGGTGCTACAGGAAGACCGAATTTGGAATTGGAGACCGAGACCGGAGAACCAAGCGACCAGGTCCTTAGAAGGGG